TAATAGTTCTTAAGTTAAGTTTGGGAATGAAATAAGAACATCTCTATTGCAAATATTGTTGAACTAAAGAGGAGGCAGTTAAATTTACCTTGGCAATTATTATTACGTAGGTACATACCTAGGTATTCATAATAGTTACGGTGAAAAGATAAAAATAACACTTCAATTCCTCAAATCGATAATTAAAGAGTCGTTACTATTTTTCACTCAACGTTACTACTTTCTTAGAATACAATTTCATTGCAGATTCGGTATTTGTTAGCTATCGTTAATTATATACATACAAAGAAATTCAAAAAGAGCATACCATTGTTTAGATCCTGCAGGGCACTCTTTAAGCCATAATTCACAGGTGCAATTCTCTTTCGTCTTTTGTCCGCTGCAGTCAGCCATTGACAGGCCAACAAACGCCAATACCAAAAGAGTACAAATAATGAGACCTTTCATGTTGAACACCTTTCTGTCTATCCACCGTAATTCATGGCTATATACAGGGTGACAATTTGAAAACTTACCACCCCCCATATCTTAGTAAATAAACGAGATATTTAAAAAAATCAAAATCCGTTTCGGTAATTCGGAGGGGGAATCACAATGACATAGTTGGCGACGCACCCCCTCCAACCCCCTGCGCCCCAGCCACCCCAACTTTTAAATCATAAATAGTGACCCCCCATGTGTGATACGTCGTTGGAAAGCTCTGAAAAAATGCTTTCCAACCATACCAAATAGCATTACATTTAGGTTAGTAATTTTCGTGCAAATCAAAAATAAACTAATATGATACATTTGAAATCTGTCGTATTTAAAACGCAACCGGCGAACATGGACGAACTAAGACAGAGAATAATTCAAGAATGTCGAAATATTGCAAAACCAACATTGGAAAGGTTCGACAAGAGTTTGAGAATAGATTATAACTGGCGATCAAAAATGAGTTGCTGTCGAGCCGGCTTTGGAAGTTCAAGTTAAATACGATTTTCCATGTTTATTTTTTGATTTGCACGATAATTACTAACCTAAATGTAATGCTATTTGGTATGGTTGGAAAGCATTTTTTCAGAGTTTTCCAACGACGTATCACACATGGGGGGTCACTATTTAAGATTTAAAAGTTGGGGTTGCTGGGGCGCAGGGGGTGTGAGGGGGTGCGTCGCCAACTATGTCATTGTGATTCCCCCTCCGAATTACCGAAACGAATTTTAATTTTTTTAAATATCTCGTTTATTTACTAAGATATGGGGGGTGGTAAGTTTTCAAATTGTCACCCTGTATGTATACCTGTACTGCAGGAAATCGGGTATAATCTTATTACTTATCATGTCACACATTCGATTAGTTGCACTTGAGATAAGTTATTTTCGTCTATAAACAATTCGAAAACAATTTTGGGTCCAACGGTTAATTCTTTCAAAAAATGTCTTGCTCCATAAGTCATCGGGAAGAAAGTTGAAGGTAGTGCTGTTGCGCAGATATAGTTACAAAAAACGTGTAGTGGAGAGAAATTTTGCAACACTTAAGATTGGCGCACGAGTGCACACTAATTTATTAGCTTTAGAAGCAAGTTCGGTCGGATTACGGAACAGATAATATACTTGCCACCTTATGGTGTTTAGACGTGTAAAAATCCACAATGTTCTCTATCCAATGCAATGAAGAGATAATCACATTTATAACGTCATTTTCAGCACCAGTGAAACAAAGTATGGGCAAATTGCTATTATGAACATTATTAACGAGCGACAAAAAGCGAGTTTTGATTTTGGACTTTCTGTCCGTCGGCCTGTGGACACGATATCTCACTAACGGTTTTGAATTTCTAATTCTGTTTGCAGCAATAAGTAGACAATGGTCAAAGGGACTAATTGATTAAATTTTGGTCAGTATTTGTCAACCGGAAGTGACTTTGTCGCTCGTTGTCTATATTGGTGCAGTTTATTTATTAATTTTTTTTCAAAAGGCTGTTATGTATGGAACTTATTTACAATTATGTAATATCCCTATGCTTAGATATGGTGCTGGCGGTGTTGTAACTCAGACCTGAATGTGTGGTATCTTGATGACGCCACGATCACGCCATAACTCATAGAATTTTCGAGAATAGCTTCTGTTAAATAGAGCTGTACCAGAAGAGGAGAAGCTCAATCCTTCGCTGCTACCTACCTACGTCATAAAATTTAATTTAGGTAAATCAGTTAAAAACAGAAAAGGTAGGTAGCTATTATGAACAACGTAATTTCTGTTGATAACAAAGTCAAGATATCAATAAATAAAAGTGTTTACAACAATTATAATGCCCTTATCAATTTTCTAATGTTCTAATGATTTTAGTACTATTTTCTGATTATATGTAAATGTTTATAGTTTCCTTAATTTCCATTTAAAAAAAGTTTTCAAAAATGAATCAATTACCTACGTCATAAAATTTAATGTAGGTAAATCAGTTAAAAACAGAAAAGGTAGGTAGCTATTATGAACAACGTAATTTCTGTTGATAACAAAGTCAAGATATCAATAAATAAAAGTGTTTACAACAATTATAATGCCCTTATCAATTTTCAGCAAGGAGTTAGGTAACGTTTGATATACACCTATCAAATCAATCCACTTATACTTGTTATTCAATAATTTTAGATCCGTATGTTATACCGAAGCCACCGTAATGGTGGCTTCGGTTATACTCGTGTAGGCTATTAAAAGTTCTTGGAGATACGTGAAAACGGACTCTTAAGGCTGTGTCTTAAGGCTCGGTGCACAGATCCAATCTTTTGACATGCGGCGGGCCGCTGCGGTGCCGGAGTTGCGTTACTTGATACAACATTTAAATAAATTAAGTATACGCCGCAATCCCACTTTTCTTGCTCTACACGTCCACACTAGACATCAACAGAATACGGACTTCGTTATTTAACCGCATCGTCTGAATCAAGTTTTGCGGCTGCCGTCGCGTCGCGGTGCTGCACTGGCCCCGCACGTCGAAAAATCGGAGGTGTGTACCAGGCTTTAAAGCTCTTAAATATTGTTAAATCTTTTGAGAGTTTTCGGTGAGCTTTAACATCTATTGAAGGATTAAAAAACTGTTGTATGAGACGGTTTTGGAAATTTTTGTGATTATCGGCGATTCTTAAGGCCGCTTAACAGATCGTAAATACTACAAGCCTCAGACGTTAAAGCATTCAAAAAGAGGGTCTTAATTCGACAGCTACGTTTGAGCGCACTTAACCCACAACATCGCCTAAAGGTTCATTAAGAGAAGGGAATATCTTAAAGACTTCTGTAAAATTCATGGGGACCTTTTGGGCGAAACCCACGTTTGAGACTCTTACAGGCTTGTAACTATGCTTAAACGTTCACAAAAGCTTTTAAGGGTTTATAAAAGCATACACCGTGCTGGGATCCATTCTATTTTCCTTAAGGGCTGGCTACGGAAAAAAGTTACTTATCGCTACATAGCCGATTGTTTATGTAAAGTATCCTGAATCCTGATACATAGTGCAGTAGCAAAAGTCATGTCTACCAGCGAGATCCCGTGGCTTAAGGTTGGGAGGAGCGGTCAAATATGTCAAATTTTAATAAAACTGCTGATTTTCGGAGTATATTTACCTCTGACCCAAAAAATGGATGAGACTTTTTTGTACAGCTGATCAAGGCACATTTTTTTTATATTTAACATTTTTCGTTATGGAGCTTACCTACTTTCTGAGAAAAGTGCAAATTTAGAAAAATTATAAAATGAGTAGTTTAATTCTTTCTCAAAAACTAAGAAACTACCAAAAAAGCCAATGTATGCGAAAAAAATTACAAATATCTTTATTATATTACTCTACATTTGCCCTGACCAAGCGGAATAAATACCTAAGATGCTTAGTTCCTTCGTTCGACTTAATTAATTCGAATCTTACTTTACAAGGCTACCTTTCTACCATATATTGTACAGGGTGACCAAGCATAGACTGCATGAGCACGTATCACAGTTCTACCCCATTTACTTGAGACACGTACGATTCCGGAACACCAGAAGAATGATTTTGAACAAATTGTATCACGGTTGGAAGCTCTTATGGGGATAAACATTTAAGGCTGGTGTACCTAATAATACGCCCAATTAAAAAACAGAACCCAAAAATCAGACGAAACTCGAAGCCGATATAGCCGTGATGACAATATTGGGTATCATACGGCTCCAGAAAGTTATATAGAGCAGCTGGCGGTGCGGACGTTCATCAATGGTGTTCGCGACGTGAAAATGCAACAAGCTTTGAAACTTGCGTGACATCAGAACATAGACCCTCCTGGTAATGCTCGCGTGCTCACTATAGCTACAGAAGATAAGTACGCAACTATGGAAGAAATAGAGAAAATATTGGAGCAATTAGAGGTTGGAACAGCAACAAACAAAACGACCGAGGACTGCGATGCTGGGGCCTGTGGTAAAAATGGACACATTAGAAGAAATTCCCCAAAAGCGCAGCAACCACAGGAAAATTAAAACGGGTCGACGGGAAGGGGTGAGCATCGTCAACTCATTCCCGACCATGTTTAAGAAGGGCACTGAGATTGGAACGTGTGCCCCAGTAGCTACAATCGCGCGTTGTGTAAATACAGTCAAGATTGATGACACTTTGAAAGGCTTCAATCAAGACTTATGCAAGAATCTGCCAGCAAGCGAAAAGGGCCAGGCTAGAAGGTTAATTTGCCGCTACCAAGACGTGTTTACTTCAGAAAAGACTTGTCGACCAAAACAATATCACATAAAATAAATACCTACGGGAGATGCCCAACCTATCGAGCAACATCCCAGAAGGTTACCATGGGCCAAACACGACGAAGCCCATAAAATCATCGGCGACATGACTAGAGAAGGAATAATTGAACCATCCAGCAGCTCTTGGACCTCACCTGTGGTGCTAGTAAAGAAAAAAGACGGCAGCACTATGTTTTGCATAGATGCCTGTAATCTTTGCGAAACAGTGAAGTGTTGCAAAATTTCTCTCCACTACACGTTTTTTGTGACTATCTGCGCAACAGCATTACCTTTAACTTTCTTCGTGATGAGTGATGACTTATGGAGCAAGGCATTTTTTGAAAGAATTAACCATTGGACCCAAAATTGTTTTCGAATTGTTTTTAGACGAAAATAGCTTATTTTAAGTGCAACTAATCGAATATGTGACATGATAAGTAATCAGATTATACCCAATTTCCTGCAGTATAGGTATATATAGCAATGAATTACGGTGGACAGACAGAAAGGTGTTCAACATGAAAGGTCTCATTATTTGTACTCTTTTGGTATTGGCGTTTGTTGGCTTGTCAATGGCTGACTGCAGCGGACAAAAGACGAAAGAAAATTGCACCTGTGAATTATGGCTTAAAGAGTGCCCTGCAGGATCTGAACAATGGTATGCTCTTTTTGAATTTGTTTGTATGTATATAATTAACGGTAGCTAACGAATATCGAATCTGACATGAAATTGTATTTTAAGAAAGTAGTAATGACTCTTTAATTATTGATTTGAGAAATTGTAGCATTATTTTAATCTTTTCACCGTAACTGTTATGAATACCTAGGTACGTAATAATAATTGCCAACGTAAGTTTTAATTGCAATAGAAATGTTCTTATTTCATTCCCAAACTTAACTTAAGAACTATTAATTGATATTTATTTTATGTTTCAGCGACGTTAAGTCCGACAATCCTTGCTCAATCATTTTCAAAACGTGTTGCAAACCTTGAAACCGAGATGGTGTTACCTCTACATTAATTAATTCAATTATTTCTGTTATTATACAATATCAATAAAATTGTTTGAATTATTTACTGTTTCTTTAATGTTAGTAGTAGTTCAGTTTACAGATTAAGGCTTACTCAGAATAGAAACAGTACAAATTTGTATGGTATTTTGGCGGACCCTGGTGGATACTGTGAACTAAAAGATTAAAATTAGAGTAGCGACATCTAGTGACAAGCTTCTAAAGCCATGAAGCAATTAGTCCCCTCTTCTATTCGATGTAATTCATAAATATCGATAAAGAATACACAGTTGTCAAATTGAAAGTGTACCTATTTAGACATATTTACATTGAATTAATTAACAATGCTTACAAATTAAGTATAAAACTCAGAAGTGCAGAGTGGAACTTTGGTCCGCTTTGTAGATGCATTGAATAAGTAGGAAATGATTACTTATTCAACGGTAGATGTTATAACACTTTGCAAAAAATCCTTCCGTAACAATTTGTCGTAAGAAATGTTTGGTTTTGGTTGCCATTTGGGCTGGTTATTTTTGCTCAAAAATCTCTTTAGAACTAAAATTTCTGTTCCAAGAGGTACCTAATAAATCCTTTTCAGCAAATTATCACACAAGTTCTTGACAACAAATGTTAACTATTTATTACTTGTTGTTGAAGAGCAAGGGTGAAAGTTGTTGAACTACCTATCTAAAACGAGTTACCATATAGGTACCTAATAACGTAGTATCTACGTCTATATAAATATACAACTCAAGCTAGTCTACATCTTTTGCGTCTACAGTTGGCCATAATTCTACGTTAATGTGCATCTGTTACATTCCCTACCAGCTACCTTGCATAAATACGGAAGGGGGAAGGAATAACACTATAACAGTAATTTTCAACCCTCTTCGCGTTCCAGGCGCATATAATACTTTGCTCCAAAGGTTTTTTACATATTGAATAACCTATTTACAGTGTATACATCCTTAGGGGCTTATGCAGAGAGTTGACTGCAGATGCGCGTTTCGACTACCGTGAACGTCCGTGTACGTGTGGTACAGTATTTCATATGCGGATGGAAATGGAACTGCAGTTCGCTGAAAAGCGACGGAAATTGTGTGGTCAGTCCTACTGCAAAATGCGGCTCTTGTACGCCCAGTGTTGGTGATATCTTGATTAATAAGTTATTTATTAAATAAAAAGTTCACCTTATTCTACTAATTTTAAAGTGAATTGAATTTATCCTGCCGTTTTTGAGATTTGAAAATATAACCCATCAATCCTATCCTACCTGAAAGGCCCTTTGCGTAAGAACTCGAGGCTGTTTTGAATTGACCTGAACCCGCATATTAACTTAATTTTCTTATTACCAATAAAGATCACAATTTATCATTCAATTTGTAGCGCACTCGTACAACACTACGTTCGCAAGTATACTGACCACAATTTGAACACTATAGGCATTCTTGACGATTGAAAGTTTACTTATTATTTGTGGTATACCCAATGAATAAAAAAGGTATTGGTATACCTAATCGAATGTGAATATGCCGGTTTAGAGTTATGTTATTGTTGGTTGCCAAGCTGCACTGATTACATTTAAAATTCTTGAAGAATAAGGTACCGTCATAAAATGTGATGATTTAAACAGGTGTAATTAGTAATTACATTGATTGTAATAAAATGTTTGCAAGTGTATTTATACTTTTACGCCGTAAAAACTAAAAACTACAATATTGATTACTTTAGACCACTGTAACTAAACAAAATGTCCGTCTTAACCCACCAATAGTAATAACAATGTGCTGCCACCAGAGGTCCAACTGTTAATCTGAATCACGGTCGTATACATTCGTGATTTGAATCTATAGATATATTCTGAATGGCAAATAACGCCCTGTCAATTTATTCTGCGCTGGTATGTCAGTTAGTTATTATTTATTAACATAATAGTAGATAAGTATAGAATATTTTTTTTATAAAATACATACGTCATTTATCTAAAATTATCGAATAACAAGTATAAGTGGACTGATTTGATAGGTATATAGCAACCGTTGCCTCACTTCTTTCTGACAAAGGATATAAGAGGCCTACTAATTATTGTAAACACTTTTATTTATCGTAAATAGGTGTGATATCTCTACTTAGTTATCAGTAGAAATTACGTTGTTCACCACAATAGTTCTATTTTTAACTGCCCTCAAATTAAATTTGAAGACTCAATTAAATAATTTTTATTGATATTAAAACACTTTTTTTAAAAATAGGAATTAAAGAAACTATAAATATTTACATACAATCAGAAAATAGTACCTACTAAAATCATTAGAACGCGGAATGAGTCGCATTACCCCGTTGATACCTGGCTTCACTATATATTGGTGTATGAACTTCTAGGGAAACTGTAAAGAGGTTTATTTATAATTTCATAGGGTGTTTAATGGAGATCAACAATTACGTCGTCAAGAACAGGGACAGGAGAATAATTTGCCTCAGCCTCTCTATGAATTGGTGGGTGTTTAGATTCAAGTGCATTCCAGTTCCACGTTTCGGTGTAATATTTAGCGATAACTTCAGACAAAGAATAGTTACTCTTTGCTTCAGAGGAGCGGACATCTCAAGCAGCAGCACTAACATCACCTTCAGATAGCTTGAGAGTGACTCGTTTACACAACTTGACCTATCTTCCTGGCCAGACGCAATTCCATGAGAGATACATTTTAGCGTATTTTCTTCAAAGTGAAAAATCGCGATTGGATGCACTTTGTCGTCGGTTACATGTATATTTTACACGAATGAACCGATTTGGGTGATATGGATCTCATTTGAAAGGGCTTCGTCGTCCACGAATTTTGTGCATACCGATATTTATTGGTTTTGCGCATGCGCAGTGTCAAACATTTGGTTTAACCCATGTGCAATGTTAGCTTTTTAGCGCATTTTTTAAGAATTAAAAAAAATGTGCTATTGTTTGCGTTTTGTCCGTCCGTCCGTCCGGACCCACTTCTGACGTTTTGAACTACTTCTAGAGTCCTGGAATTTTTTGCAGTAGGTAACCTATAACTTGAAGGTGTGCCAGACGGCCATCAAATTTCGCTGTCTAAAAGGGGGGCCCTCCCACGAATTATTTCCTGAGATGCTGTTTTTGAAAGTTAAACGTGCATAACTTTTATATACGACAACCAATTCGTCTCAGATTTTGCATACGCATGCCTTTAGTGGTGCCAAGTTAAACTTTAGAAAATAGGGGAGGGGGGTTGTAAACACATGTTCCACCCTTCATGGTAGGTATTCTAATGAAAGGATCTCATCGAAATAAATTGGTTTCTACAAACTATAACTTTCCCGTGCGATTCTTTTTCGAGATCAGTGAGATTTTAGTTTTATCCTTCATGGTACTCTAATGAAAGGTCCCGAGGAAAAAAATAATTTATACTAACCATAGTCTTCCTCCTCGATCCCCGATCGGTTATAATTCCTTATATCTTAAGACTGAATTGTCAAAGGAAAGTACCTACAAAGGGCGATTGGGACGCTTGGAAGAAATATAACCATTGGGCATTTAAATAAAATTTGATACATAGCCACTTGGAATAAAGGCAAATTTAACACCATTTTCCAAATTTGGTTTTGTGTGGGATGTGCAGTGCCAACTTTCTTATTTATGGAAGAAATTTCGTAGGGGTGTTTAAAAAAATGCACTTTGCCTGCACAGGGGCTGTGCACAATTTGTACCTACTTGTTTATTTATGAAGACATTTCAATAAAAAAAAACTTTATATGTAAACACTACAAATATAAGTAACATTAACGACGTCTCCAAAATATTCTTTTGGACATGCGCAATGCCAATTTTCTTATTTTTGAAAGCATTTAAATGAAATATCATATGTAAGCACTTTGAATGAAAGTAAAACTAATAACGGTTTCAAAATTACTTTTTTCGTACTTATGAAACAAATAACTATTACGTAAAATGAATTCACATATTATTCGTACGCAATATCATAAGGGCATTTAATTTTTTGAAAAAACACGTTACTAAGTAATATTTCAACAAGAAGCGTGAGTGCTAGTGGCAATAAAAATCCGAGTCCAAGACGAGGATTTTTGCACTTGCATCAAGGCTATATATTGGGAAGTTTTCTCAGCGAAATTAGTACGCATTTATCGGTTTTGGCTGAATTTTGCTTTAAAACTTTTAGCTAGGTTTTGGATAGAGAACACTATGGATTATTTTACATGTCTAAGGATCATAAGGTGGCAAGTGTATTATCTGTTTCGTAATCCGATCGAACTTGCTTCTAAAGCTAATAAATAACTGTGCACTCGTGCGCCAATTCCAAGTGTTGCAACATTTCCCTCCACTACACGTTTTTTGTGACTATCTGCGCAATAGCATTGCCTTCAACTTTCTTCGCGATGACTTATGGAGCAAGATATTTTTTGAAAGAATTAACCGTTGGTCCCAAAAATGTTTTCGAATTGTTTTTAGACGACAATTCAACTCATGTATAAAAAATCACATAAGCCGCAGTGTAATTGTCACTTTGACAGCGGCAAAAGTTACCTGCAACTTTTCCAGCGACAAATGCACTAGTGGTTTTTTCACTTATTCATTTTCGAACCAATAATCGCATTATCCTTACCCATATGACTAGTTTGACGTCTGTCAATAATTGATTAGTTTGGTGAATTTCTTGTTCGTTAAATTGTCCTGCCGAATTACACTCGAGGTTTGTATTTAAACCGAATAAATTTGGGTTGTGGCAATTCAAATCTGTTTCCTTTTAGCAATTGGACTCGAAAAACTGTCAACCTAAAAATGCTCCACCTGCGGTGTCGCATTTTTATTAGTTGACAGTTTTTCTCGTCTAATTGCTAGGCAACAGATTTTCATTACCTAAACAACCCAAATTTACTCGGTAAAATACAAACCTCTTGTGCAATTATAAGTGAAAATAGCTTATCTTATAAGTGCAACTAATCGAATATGTGACATGATAAGTAACAAGATTATACCCAATTTCCTGCAGTATAGGTATATATAGCCATGAATTATCGTGGATAGACAGAAAGGTGTTCAACATGAAAGGTCTCATTATTTGTACTCTTTTGGTATTGGCGTTTGTTGGTCTGTCAATGGCTGACTGCAGCGGACAAAAGACGAAAGAGAATTGCACCTGTGAATTATGGCTTAAAGAGTGTCCTGCAGGATCTGAACAATGGTATGCTCTTTTTGAATTTCTTTGTATGTATTATAATTAACGGTAGCTAACGAATATCGAATCTGACATGAAATTGTATTTTAAGAAAGTAGTAATGACTCTTTAATTATTGATTTGAGAAATTGTAGTATTATTTTTATCTTTTCACAATAACTGTTATGAATACCTAGGTACGTAATAATAATTGCCAACGTAAGTTTTAATTGCAATAGAAATGTTCTTATTTCATTCCCAAACTTAACTTAAGAACTATTAATTGATATTTATTTTATGTTTCAGCGACGTTAAGTCCGACAATCCTTGCTCAATCATTTTCAAAACGTGTTGCAAACCTTGAAACCGAGATGGTGTTACCTCTACATTAATTAATTCAATTATTTCTGTTATTATACAATATCAATAAAATTGTTTGAATTATTTACTGTTTCTTTAATGTTAGTAGTAGTTCAGTTTACAGATTAAGGCTTACTCAGAATAGAAACAGTACAAATTTGTATGGTATTCTGGCGGACCCTGGTGGGTACTGTGAACTAAAAAATTAAAATCAGAGTAGCGACATCTAGTGACAAGCTTCTAAAGCCATGAAGCAATTGGTCCCCTCTTCTATTCGATCTAATTCATAAATATCGAAAAAGAATACACAGTTGTCAAATTGAAAGTGTATTTAGATACATTTACGAAGTTTTTGAACTTCAGGAAGACCCTCCATGTTACCACAGAAGGTCCTCCATGATCCTCGTTTAGACCTTCGAATATGGTCCTTATACCTGCGGTGAGAGATCTTAAGATCTTCCCAGTCCGCAGGCAGCTTAGTTCCTTTTTTTTCTCTGACAGTTTTGCCACATAGCAGTGCCAGTCAATGGATCGGGAAATGAAAGTGGAATAATATTCAAAGGTAATCGAATCGTAATACCAGAAAATCTTCGTTCAGAAGTACTAAGGGAACTACATCATACCCATATAGGTATAGTAAAAATGAAACAACTTGCAAGAAAATACTGCTATTGGAAAAACATCGATAAGGACATCGAACAATTGGTAAAATTATGTAAAAGTTGTGCTCTCATAAGGAAGAATCCAGAAAAGGCACCACTGGATCACTGGGAAGAACCTCAAGAAAATTTCTATAGGATCCATATGGATTATGCAGGACCTTTCCAGGGTTTCCATTTCTTCGTTGTAGTAGATGCAAAATCAAAATGGGCCGAAATTAAACCAATAAAACAAGCACCTACATCCGAAAATACCATACATTTATTGCAAGAAATTTTTTGTACGCATGGGTTACCAAAAGTATTGGTATCTGACAATGCTTCAATATTTCAAAGTACAATGTTTCATGAATTTTGTACAAGAAACGGTATCATCCAGAAATTTACTGCACCTGGACATCCATCAACAAATGGCCTGGCTGAAAGAAACATACAAACCCTCAAACGTAAACTTACAGCTATGGCAGAAGAGAAATTATCGATGCACGTGAAAATTAGAGAAATACTTTTTAGATATCGAGCAACCCCTCTACAATGTGGAAAAACACCAGCGCAATTATACTTAGGAAGAGATATCCGTATAAAACTTGATGCGATGCGACCGCCAAAAGGAAGTGTTGGTAACAAAATATTTCATCATAATATTCGAAATTATAGTGTGGGAGAGAGGGTACAAGCACGATGGTATGCAGACAACAAACCCACATGGAAATTCGGAACTATTGAACAAAAATTTGGACGACTACATTATCAAATTAAATTAGATAATGGTTACAGCTTAAAGAGGCATATAGACCAGCTTGCCAGAACAAGCGTCCCTCCAAAGAAAACAATGACATTCCAAGACGATCGACAGGAGAGTATTACAGACAAACAGTAGACTGAGGGAATGGACGAAATGATGATTATACAACCCCGACAGCAAATAGAGCGACCTGTATTAGAAGATATAAGGAGACCAGCACCAGAAGAACCTATACTACGGAGATCTGAGAGGTATCGACAACCACCTAGATACTTGTTAGAATATATACAGAAGAAGTAATTCAAAAATATTCAATTTCAATTTTTTAATAAGTGTGGGAGAATCTGTAATGTATTAAAATTTCATTATTATCAAGTAATCAGATAACAAATATATCGAATGATATGTCATAAATATTTTTCATATTAAATCAAATAAAAACGTATTTTGTATAATTAAAACTAATACAAAACATAAAGCTAATAAATCAGTGTGCACTCGTGCGCCAATCCCAAGTGTTGCAAAATTTCTCTCCACTACACGCTTTTTGTAACTATATCTGCGCAACAGCACTACCTTCAACTTTCTTCGCGATGACTTATGGAGAAAGACATTTTTTGAAAGAATTAACCGTTGGACCCAAAAATGTTTTCGAATTGTTTTTAGACGAAAATAGCTTATCTTAAGTGCAACTAATCGAATATGTGACATGATAAGTAACAAGATTATACCCAATTTCCTGCAGTATAGGTATATATAGCAATGAATTACGGTAGACAGACAGAAAGGTGTTCAGCATGAAAGGTCTCATTATTTGTACTCTTTTGGTATTGGCGTTTGTTGCCTTGTCAATGGCTGACTGCAGCGGACAAAAGACGAAAGAGAATTGTACCTGTGAATTATGGCTTAAAGAGTGTCCTGCAGGATCTGAACAATGGTATGCTCTTTTTGAATTTCTTTGTATGTATATAATTAACGGTAGCTAACGAATATTGAATCTGCAATGAAATTGTATTCTAACTGCCTCCTCTATAGTTCAACAATATTTGCAATAGAGATGTTCTTATTTCATTCCCAAACTTAACTTAAGAACTATTAACTGACATTTATTTTATGTTTCAGCGACATTAAGGCCGACAATCCTTGCTCAATCGTTTTCAGAACCTGCTGTAAACCTTGAATCCAAGATGGTGTTACCGCTACATTAATTAATTCAATTATTTCTGTTATTATACAGTATCAATAAAATTGTTTGAATTATTTTCGTTTTCTTTACTGTTAGTAATATATGTAATTAGTTCTCCCTTCCACTCTGACGTAACCCGTCGCCGTCATTTGACGTCTTCTCGACAAAGTATGACGGTCGGGTAATGGTTGAAATTGACACATTCAAGTGTTTTTCCCGAGAGGTACTGCAACTTTTTTAAGTGTGGTTCCTGTGTGGACATTTCAAAGTACATTTTTATTTACATAAGGGTTGAATGTTATTTCTTGAACAAAAGTTGGATTTTCCATTTACTGTTTCATTTAAAGGCTCTATGGCTAATTCTTATTACCACAACGTCAAGTAAGCAAACCAAGATACATACCCCCACAACGCGAAACAATAGCTCATGAGTAGGTACTGGCACAGTAGGTACATGTACTGGTGTCGGGTTTTGGGTACGACAACGCGTTTTGGTCTAATTTTTTTCCCCATTCTTGGGAAACTAGATCCTATCGCATTGTCACAACGCGTAATATACAGAGTGGAACCTCTCCCATTCATGTCAATTCATTCAACAAATTCAACAAACCGTGTAAAAATAGATGAATGATAAATGAAGTTGTCGTGTTAATTCCTGCAAATGGACCGCTCGGTATATAAATATCATCAAAAATAGGTACACTAAACACTGAATTGAGGTGCGATTTGCCATCGTTACCAGTAGATGTAGATACCGGAGCCACAACTCACAAGGAAAAACAAAGGTCATCGTGGGGAATTTTCCGGCTAGGCGACAATTTTCCATTATTCGAGTGAAAAATGTTCGGCAAAAGTTTTCGTCATCTATCAACAGTTCTCAAGTATATCGAAGTAGTTGTCATGTATTGCTGCTTAACAAATGTGCCCGTAGGACTCAACCGATCCGAACCAAACATGAACTTCCCCAACTGCCCTATTCCTACGAAGCTTTGGAGCCTATTATATCCCGAGACATCATGATGTTGCATCACCAGAAACATCACCAAACCTATGTAACCAATTTAAATCTTGCCGAAGAGAAATTAAGGAGCGCAGCAGAGAAGCACGATATTACGTACTGATTTTACTGTACGTTTTCTGTTTTAATTTATGCTTCACTTTTAGTGCAATGATATCTTTGCAACCCGCCGTGAAGTTTAACGGCGGCGGTCACATTAATCATTCAATCTTCTGGCAAAATCTCTCGCCTAACCAAACGAAAGCTAGCGACGAACTTTGCCAGGCCATGGTCCAGAGCTTTGGTTCCTTTGACAAGTTTAAAGACGATTTATCCGCCGCTACGGTCGCGATTCAAGGCTCCGGATGGGGATGGCTCGGTTATTGCACAAAGACGCACCGTTTGAAGATAGCAACGTGCGCCAATCAAGATCCGTTACAAGCCACAACGGGTTTAGTACCATTATTCGGTATTGACGTCTGGGAGCACGCGTATTACTTGCAGTACAAAAATGTACGACCAGATTATGTCAAGGCAGTTTTTGACATTGCCAATTGGAAGGATATTTCAGAGAGATTCGCAAAGGCTAAAGCCACCAAGTGAATAAGTTTGTCATATTTTTATAGCAATAAATGTTAAGGAATGTATATTTTTTATTCATATTGACCAGGATTCAGATTAACAGTGAGCCCTCTGGTGGTAGCACGTTGTCAATACTATTAGTGGGATAATACTGTCTGTAAAAAAAACCAGCTTCATTCTTCCAACGGTAACCTAGTTATATCCGTAGAAAGTTCGTGAAAAACCGACTAAGAATTGTTTTTTTACGGAGTTATCAAATGTGCGCGATTTTTTTTAAATATTTTTTTAAGAGCTATTATCAACGTTTTCATTTGGTGTATAACTTATTTTCTCGAAAAACAACCTTTCAGAATTGGTACCACAAGAAGTACCCGCAGCGCCTTAAGTCGTATGACGTGAGGCGGCAGACGATCGATTTTAGCATACTCTGATAGGGCAAAATGGAACTCCATCGGTTAAAATTTTGATCATTCTCGTTCAGTGGATTTCGTGCTAGCTCCCCTACTATAAGGATAATTTAAGAAATCGTCGTCTAACGCATAATATTTTTAAAGTCGTCTCAATAACAAATGGGAGATATATACGTGTCATATTCTTTGACACACTCGCTGCTTTGAATAATTTTTTAGTTATTTATTATACAAGAGAAAAAATTATTAGATTTTAGCTTGAGGTTGTGTGAAAAAACCGAGAGCTAAAATTAACATTTTTCTTCTATGTATTTTTTTTATCCAGTCTGGTTAGCCTGCAACATGGCTTCTCCAAAACTCTATTTCCGTTGCTGCTTTCCCTTGTTTTTCTTGTTGGTTACATATACTTCTGCTCCATACATTACCTATGCCATATATTATATGTACTCTGCACCATTGTACCTACTGATTATCCGGCTTTTGTGTTTTTATTTAGGTATAGCAGGCTGAATTAAGTTGAGTTAAGCTACTGCTTTATACGTGTTCTAATTAGTGCCAGTCTGCTTTTTTACTTCTTTTTCTGTCGTTGCCTCTTGGCACGGTAAATCCCAAGTAGGTAGGTAGGTATTTGAATTTGTCTGTTCCTTAAAGTTTCCTACGATTTTTAGACCTTTTATATTTTCTTCTACTGTCGCTTGTTTTTCCATAGGTAATTTTTAATCCCACTTTGGTGTACTCTTTTTTCAGTTCTAGTACCATGTGCAGTGGTTCGCCGTTGACAGCGACGATCAAGGCGGCCGCCGACGGTTCCAGCGAAACCGGAATCCTACGCCATCTTGGTTCCGGAAAATTCCACCATCTTGTGTAACGTCTTGAAGACGCCTTGCGCCCGTTTCATTATCCTCCTTGCGCTTTTTCTCTTCTTTCTAATAAATGCTTACTATTAAAATAAACTTAATTACTTATTGTGTACTTATTTATTGCCTTGCCAGTATAGGTAATTAGCATAGGAACATTACAAAACGCGCGAATAGCTCCCCAGCGACGACTAAAATGGTTAAAGCCGTAGCTAAAATAACCTAAAAAACGACCTTCAAAGCCAAAGTCAAATTGAGTTAAGCCTATTACATACCGTATCCTGTCGTCGCCTATTGCGAGCGCATTTCTCATAGCTCAAATTCGTAAATGAAACCGACTGGTATAATGGTAGCCAGTATGATGGAAATAGACGAAAAAGGCTGTCGTCAATGAATTTACGCAGATGGAAAGACGGACGGGTAGTTAAGTCTCGCAATTCGACGTAGTTATACAGCGAGAGGTCGGAAATGGCGTGGCAGTCATTTCGTCTTCTCTCGGTGAACGTCTCTAGAGCTTTTGGTATGTCGTCTTCGCATGAATTGAGTATCTCATTTAGAATGGTAACATCTTCGAAGCCCGCGTTCAACCCTTGACCGAAAAATGGTACCATTACGTGGGCGGCATCTCCAATCATCTTCAAAATGGTATCGACTACATTTGACGTAGTGGATGGCAGATGGTTTATCTTTGAGGAAGCGTCGCGTTAACGACCCCATGTCCAGTAGTGGGACAATGTCGGGGAACATTTCTGAAAAGAAATCCCGAACTTGTTGCTCATCTCGCAACTCCTCAAATTCAGCATAAGACATAAACAAGCTAATAGTCCACGATTGGTCGCAATTTGGTAACGCTATCAACATTAACTCATTACGCGGCCATATATGCAGGTAATTTAGCGTTAAGTGACCTCCAAGTTCTGCAGATACATTTAACTCCATATATATCCGTGGGTTATGTAAGACTGATAGTAGTTGAACATGGGCTTTTGGAGCATACATCGTCTTAAAGTGCTATGGGCACCATCTGCTCCTATTATTAAATCGAATTGAACCTCAACGGTTGTATTATTCTTCGTTCTGTTACAGGTATCTTATTTGAGCCTGGCGCACCAACAAAAAACTTCCTGTAAAAGTGTCAATTGGCCAGTCTCTTTGCGGCAAGAAGCTTGTGCTCAAAAACAATTTCGATGTTGTTCGTTTTAGTTAAGACTAAAAAAGAGAGTTTATAAGATCAAGGTGTTGACGCACCTTATGTTCTAACCATCGAGCAATATCCTATTCAGAACTCCGCGGGGTATCGAATAAAGGCACTAAAATAGCACAATTGTAGGATTATATACGAGTTGTCGATACCTAACTTGGCCATCCTTCGGATCGTAGAGGAGCGCTTTATATTTCCTGTTCAACTGATGCAAGTATCGACCGTTCATGGCAACACTGGCGCTCAGCACGTCCTTCTCCAGGCCTAATTCGCGAAGAGCCCTTAACGCGCGGTGGGAAACCGCCAAGTTATACGATCTTCCACCTACAAACCCCCAATCGCGGGGATCTTAACGGAAGATCGGTTATAAGCTAATATCTTGTCTGTGCTCACCACGCCTATGCTCAAAGACTGTGACATGAAAACCACGTCTCGCCATGTACAAAGCGCAAATCGGACCCACCTACAACAGTTACCGTAAATGCAAATTTTGACTCAAAGATAAACGACGTACAAGTCCTCCGCCTATAATCGCAATCTTTAGTTTCACCGTCTTCTTCATTTGGCTGTTAGACGCCGAATGTAAAGGAAGTTTAAGTAATAAGTTCACGGTAGATTGTGGGGTCATGGTGTATACATACATAATCCCACACTAACAAATTTAGATAAAAATGTGTGCGTCAGTACACGTCTCAAGATAATTTTAGAGAATAAATTGATAAATAGGTAGGTACCAGAATTTTCTCTTACACGCATTTTCTGCATAGACCTTTGAAAAACACAAGAAACAAAATCTCGTAACAGAGCGGTTTTTGGTTTTGCTTCCCTACGAAACCTTATTTTTCGTCGGTGAACAACGAAACGTGATTTTTTTAATTCGCGGCTGGTGGGCTGTGCTCCGGATGTAGTAGCGAGTTGAAGGTAGTGTTGCCGCGAGACGAGACGAGACGAGACTTTCGAAAGTCTCGTCTCGTCTCGTTACCTCGAGACGAGACCAAGTCTGAGTCTCGTCTCGTCCTGGTTCAGTCTCGTCTCGTCTCGTCTCGTCTAGTCTCGTTTGGTCTCGCCTGGTCTCGAGACACTATCCAAATATAGTGTATGTAGGTAGAGCAATGAGCATATAGCATATCAAAGACCACGAACTACGAAGGCATGACAAGTAAATAATAGGAGTAATATAGTAGGTACGAGAGCCGGACGCATGGAACCAGTAGTGATAAGCTAACAAGATGAAATCTTTGTTACTGGATTCCTTGCAGCTTGAATAACACAAAATGAGTTTTCTGCCAGCCTTTTTCTGGCCGGAATGTTATTAAAAATAGGCACTTCCGGTGAATTTTTTTCCGCAAATTAAACCAAAAACCAAACCACCTGAAATTGATAACCGTAGGTTGAGGGCGATGGGTTTTAAGGAAAAATTCTTTTCTACCGAGTTTTGTCCAGCCGGAAATAGCCCGCAGAAGCGGATTAATTGAACTGTTTTTTTGTGAATTGCTATACTCATAACACAACAACTGGAGGCCTCAAGATGGCCTCCGTGTCCGTGGGCACAATTAAACAAGATATGTACGAAGAATCGCATACGATTTTCAGGGAATTTTTTGACAGCTCGTAATCGGAAACACGACTTCTAATCCGCAGTGATCCTTGAACTCTTAGAAATCGATTCGCAAAAGTTTATCTTTTTTTGTTCTCGATTTAGACTATTCCGCTAAAACAGTACAAATAAATACAAACAAATTCGAGACCAAACGAGAGTCTCGGCGAGACTCGAGACTCATGCTTAGTCTCGTCGAGACGAGACGAGACGAGACTGAACCTCGGTCTCGTCTCGAAAATTCGAGACGAGACGAGACGAGACGAGACTGAGTCTCGTCTCGGCGGCATCACTAGTTGAAGGTTATACATACACCTACGGTTAGGCAACACCTTGCATCTGAACGAATACCGGTATGGGAAAAATACAAAAAAAAAACGTGTACAGCAATCGTGATTAGACCTAGACCATTCTGCGCAGATGCCAAGAACAGGGATTTTCGCGACAAAACTTCGCAGAGGAGTTAAATTCCCAGCGCTCGGGTAATGTGAACGCGTACTAGGTTTCTCCATTGTANATCAGAGACTTGCTATAACTAGACTGCGCTTAACGTATCTAAGGTGTTGTCGACACAGTATGCAACACACAATGCACCGCGGGGCAAAAATCGGCAATATAATGAAATAAGCTGTTGTTTTAGATGTTCCGTTCATTAATCATTCTCGTGATTAGCTCGAATTAGTGAACAGATAAATTTCTGTTGAGAATAAACCAATAAACTTAGGTTAACTTGTGCGTATCAACATGTACTTTGTCGATAAATGTTTAAATAATATGCTGAATTTCAACAGATAAAAGTTTAAAGGGCCAATGGATCAGAGCCATTCGAAAAAAAAAATTTACTCCCACCATAGTGCATTTGCGGGGAATGAATGGAGGATTGTTGCACGTATCAAGCGTTTTAAGAGTTTTAAGAGTATATTTTCCCATACGTATTCACCACCAAAATACACATATAAATCAAATTAGGACTAGAGTAAGGCAGTTATATACCAATTTAGTTCAAATAAAATACTAATAAATTCCATTAAAACAGTTAACAGCTATATGTTATCTTTTTTTGCTACTAAAATTTAGAATAAACATGGCTAAAGCAAGCTGCAGAACGTACGTCTGCCCCGCGATGAACAGTTGGTTGCCTATCCTATCTTGACAACAGGCGTTTATAGTAAAATCTATGTTGATTCGTACGTGCGGCTAGTTTATACAGGGCGCTTTCTTTCGTTGATCCAAACGCGTTTGGATTGTCAAATCACGTTCTTTCGAAGTGTGATCTTATAATCATGATTGCTAAAATCGTGAACAAACTGAACATAAAAGTTTTATGATCCCGAATTCCTAACCTATAAATGCAAGGATATTTTTGATCAATTTGTTAGGTTAGTCAATATTTATAACTGAAGAGGAGCATAATCGTGCAAGTACTTCCACTTATATTTAAGTTATTTTCATAATCCAATCAAAAATACGTAATTCGAGTGCAAATATGTACTTAACCATACTTTGATTTAAATTCGCGCGTTCTTTCGTAAAACGTGATCCTACGAATCACGATTTTGAAATCATGATCGCGAAGTAGCCGAAAGAAAGCGCCTTAGGTAGTCGTCAAGGACTACATAAAGTTAAAAAAGGCAAGCGGGCGGTGCTAGGTAAGTCTAAGCACAATTGCGAAGATTTAAGAGAATAAAGAAGAAAGGACATGAATAAAGGAGACCAAGAAGAAGAAGGCAACGAGTATAATGAAAGGAAGACTAAAACGGGTCGAAAATTGCAATTAAAAAAATTGAAGGTGTTAAAGGCGTATGGCGAGGTGAAAGAAAGAGACATGACGAGTAAAAATTTAAGACAGCCGGGTGTCCCCAAAGAGGGTGAATGGGATGTGAACGCTCGTCACGGTGAAAAGGGAAGGCGCTAGAGAAGTGTCAGCGCAATTTAGGAGCGTGAACTAAATAGACATGAAGAATGAGTTAGGTAAGGGGGAATGATATACTTAAGAGACATTAGGCATATAAAGAAAGAAGGCGTATCAAAATCGTCGTGAAGTGGGGCTAAATTTTACGAATTCGTTTTTTTTTCGAGCGCTCATCATTAATCTGACAACTCTGTAAAGTACCTAACGGCAACATCAGCCGGTACAAGATTCGCATCCTGTTGCTAAGGAGGGAAACATGCGTTTGATCATTATTTTAAATAAGTAAACTGACAATAATGATGTATGACGATGAAACTGAAGGTAAGGAAGAAATTGAAGACAAAGAGCCGTTGGTTACGTCCGCTGATCCCAATGAGCGCAAATTGGCGAGGCGGTTGAGAATCGAACGAAGATTGGAGGCGATTCGAAAGTAAGTAACCTTTAACAATCTTCCTTTGTTATTTACACCCGTTCAGATTAAACCTTCCCGAAGGAGAAGAGGTTGCCGAGACGACGGAAAAGACTCTACTACAAGAGCAGTTGCAGAAAAGCTACAAACTGCTGGAAAATCTAACGATCGAGGGCAACGAGTACGTTACGAACGTTAGAATCGCAAACGAGTCTCGGGAAGCCAACAGGCGCGAACAGGAAGATTTGATCCGAAAGGGCATTTTGGAAGAGCTGGAGCATGAGGCGATCACCGCGGAAGCCCAGTTTAGCACAATCAACGAGAAATGGACGTCCATTCTAAGTTACAACGACCCCTTGCAAATCAACGAAGAAATCATGAACCAAAGAGAAAAGTGCGACGTGTTGATCAAACAGAAAGACGAGCTGATTGCTAAGTTGAAAAACGAAGTGAGACAGAGCGAGATTAAATTTGCCGAGGACCAACAGAAGCAGGTCGAAGACATTCAAACTTTATCAAATCGGATTGAAACCCAAGTCAGTTTGATGCGCCGAGCGTACCGACGTGAACTCGAATTAATCGAAGACGTAATCCAAGTTGAGCGAAAAATTCTGATCGACACCAACGATAAACGTTGGGAAGAGCTGCACAAGAAACGCGACCTGGAAGAGAATCTCAATTGCGAGCGGAAATTCGAGCAGTTGGAGGAGTTCGAGGAAATCTGCACGAATCTGCGCGTTAATCATCAGGAAAAATACAGGGGTATTAGAATCAAGTTGGGAAACGATATCGAGAATCTCGAGCGGGAGCTGGAAAAAATCAAAAGCCTCACGTTGATCAACAGCGAAAAGCTCGACTACAACTACCAAGTGTTGAAGAAGAGGGAGAGTGAAAACCTAATAATAAAGTCCCAACAAAAGCGCCGCATCAACAAACTGCAGGATCTCATCAACACTGCAAGGGCGAAACTTGGACACTATCTGAAGCAGACGAACGGCGAAATTGACAGGCTCACGGCTAACATCAGCAAACTGCGGGCGAATATTCTGGACGTCGAAGCCAAAGCCGATAGCTTTTCGAACACGAACGATCTCAAATACAAACAAATCTGGGATTTCAACAAAAAGCGCGTGGACGCGCTATTGAAGCAGATTCTCGACACGGATCGCGTCTTGCACGAGCAACAGCTCGGCCTACGCTGGACCAGTCCGAATGTCGCACTTTTGGAGAAAACCGACTTGCCCAGTTACAAATCCGCTTCGGAAATCGTAGCGAAAATGTCCTGTCGGAAGGAGCCGAGCGAAAGTGAGGTTGAATCGGACGAAGTCGGCGATTTCGATGGGGAGACTGTGGCTCATCGCCGAATTTTGAGGATCGTCTTAAAACTAATTGCGGATAAGTCGGGTTTTTTAATTGAAGAGAAACTCAAAGAGATTTTGGAACCTTACAGCGAGCGTGAAAGGTCACTTGTGAAAATCGATGGTGTATTTTCCGTAAGTTGTGGTCTATTTCTATTGTTTTTTTGCATATTTTCCAAGAATATCTTGGTTGTAGTTATTTTCATGAAATGCTTCGAGTGAACGCAAATATAGCGTTTATGTTAAAAGTTGACTTCACGCATGCGCAGAATCAATTTTGTGGATGAGCACCCATGCCCAAAATAAAATGCGTAGATACCTATAGCAGTATCGTAAATACTCCTTTTGGAGCCACGTGATCACGGTACAAAACAGTATCCGGAAAAACTGAAAAATTCGAAGATATAAAGAGTTCTAAAGAGGGACTACGAAAAGATTTAGAAGAAATGTTGAAAAGATGGTTTTGAAGAGATACCTATTAAAAAACTGAATGGAGGGACGGCACTTCGCGTCGATGTTAAAACTAACTCAAAACACTTTACTTATACAGAGTGGCCCAACGAGAAGTATACAGAGGGCTTTTAGGGTATTAAATTTAGAAATTTCGAAAAATCCTCGAACACGTCAATTTTGTATTCGAGGGGGACAACTTTTGGAATACAAATCACGAACCCAAGTCTTCACCCCTCTACGTAGGGAGCTTAACCCCTAAAATTTTAAAATTCTGTTTTAATTGAAGTGTTTTACAATGAATTTATCATTTTTTGTCGTAGCATGAAAGTGCTGAAATACAATGATAGGCGACGCGCCTCGTTTGGATTGTATATTTTGTTACTTTTAATTATCAGCTGCAATTAAAAAAAAAACTGTATTGTAATTGATTTCCGAAAAAGGAGTACCTTAAAATGAAGCAAATAATGTTTTTGTGGTGCACCGCAGAGCTACCCCCCCGCCACCTTCATTACTACACTAATACTTTAATGGCCCGTAACCTATGCAATTCCACCTGGCCCGCCCCTGACTAGAAACCAATTTCGAAAGAACATTCAAAGGGCTGTAACTTTTGAACTAGTAGCCCAATCTTGGAACTGTTAAATGAAAATTATGGATTCTACAGGCCACATTCTATAAGAAATTTTTTTTTCCGGGTCGATCTGAGACAATTTTTTTGCGGGCCTCAAAAAAAGGCAGTGTATAACCTTCCTTTTTTACTAAAAATCAACTGCACCAAAATTTCTCGGGAAAACACTTTTTCTTATTAATTTTGGTGCGTAGAATCTAAAACAATTCGTACTTTTTCGATCGGACTTCTCAATCAAAAGTTATGGACTAGAAACCAATTTCGAAAGAAAATTCAAAGCGCTCTAACTTTTGAATTAGAAGCCCAATCTTGGAACTGTTTGAAATTATGGATTCTACAGGCCACATTCTATAAAAAAAAATTTTTTCCGGGTCGATCTGAGACAATTTTTTTTTCGGAGCTCAAAAAAGGCAGTGTATAACCTTCCTTTTTTACCAAAAATCGACTGCACCAAAATTTCTCGGGAAAACACTTTTTCTTATTAATTTTAGTGCGTAGAATCCAAAACAATTCGTACTTTTTCGATCGGACGTCTCAATCAAAAGTTATGGACTAGAAAGAATTTGAAAAGCAAAGCAGATTAGTAATCACGATTAAATTGGCTTTCAAATAATGTGCCATTTGCCATAGGATTCCATTTAAAATTTTAGGGGTTGAGCTCACTACGTAGAGGGGTGAAGACTTGGATTCGTGATTTGTGTTCCAAAAGTTGTCCCCCTCGAATACAAAATTGACGTGTTCGAGGATTTTTCGAAATTTCTAAATTTAATACCCTAAAAGCCCTCTGTATACTTCTCGTTGGGCCACTCTGTATAGCAAACGCGGGTATTTCTTGAAAGTTCTCGAACGCTCTCGAATTTTCCAGAACAAACGTCAAGTTAAGCGCTTTGAAGATGTATTATAATTGCCTGGTCTGGAAAGAGGCGAGGGGGGGGGGGATTTTAAGTGCTTCCGGAGATTTCTTGTAATTTTCGATTCTAGTCTAGGTGACCGCGTCGCACCGCCAGGAAGGGGCAAGTCCAATCGCGATTGTGGCGGCGATGGCGATGCTGCACAACTCCAATAGCAATCTGGTAGCGCGACGCAGCGCAGCCAACGTAAAGCGCATTATTTAATGACGAAGCTCTCTCTCTCTCCCACTCCTTCGCTTCGCTGCATTGTTTTTGCTGCAATGTAGTATAGAAAAAAATACACAACCGCTTGGGTTTGAACCCGCGTCATCGACCGTTGTAAATCGAGGAATGGAGACCTTGCAGCCGAGCTACGATCGACTTCACAATATTCGCTTATACCGATATAAATACGACAAACTTATACGTATAATTAAGTAATCAGAAGTACTTATAGTCCCTTCAAATTCTAAAATTCATTTTATTTACTGGGAAGCCATTAAATACGCTGTAAGCAGTTGTGAGCCAGGCGAGCGGTCGTCTACGCCGAGCTCCTCTTTGACTGCCGAGCTTTACGAGCTATGAGCTCTGCTCAAATGTGACGGAGATGAAAAATAAATGCGCACAAATCCGTAATTTTCCTTTTAGAATGATTTTCTTTGTATTTCATAGGCACTCGAAATAAAACACAAAGAGGATATTGAAGTATTATTGGAATACTTCTTGCCTTATACGCATTGCCCCATTTGCTCTGACCAATTGTCAGCAATGAGTGCAAGCACCGAGAGAGAAATAGAGACATATAATTTCTCCGATGACGGTGGCGGATCCATCGAGCGACCTCCCGTGATGGCGCTTGCAACCGAAACGGAAGAAGGAGACATTATGGCGGCAGTCCATCAGCCTACGCAAGTTATTGACTCGATCATTTCGGCGATAGTAGATTCCGAGGACGTCGAACTCGATGACGTAACTATGAAAACTGTTTCGATGTAAGTAATAAACATCTTCGTTGCCGCGCTAAAAAAAAAGGCTTGTAGCGCCGAGGAAACAGTGGTGGTCAAACCGAAAGAAACCAAGCTGAAAGGCTCCTGCTACAAGAAACACCCGCTTGTAATAAGCTCGGTGTATATTTTACGGGCGCTGCGGGAATTTTTGAGTAAATTTTATTTGGCGAAAGAAGGGTGAGTATCAATCGACCTACCTATGCCAAGACAGACATTTTCGTTTTTTATAAGTCTCAATTATTTTGTCCCAGGATCCTCACCATGAGTTCAAGACTATCGCGAAAACGAAGCACGATCTCTCGATTAATGTCAGAGGAAGACATCAAAACATATTGGGAACGTTACAGGACGATGTTTTCGTTAGAAAGGGAAGAGATATGGGACGCCCTACTAATCGGTCTACAGAAATATCACGAAATCCTCAAAGGTAAGGAGCAGAACGAACTGCCGCCGAAATCGCCCCACTGTTTTTAGATCGCAAAAAACTAAACGACGAAGTCCTCGAGCTGCGCCAGCAAAATTTGCAATTGCGAAATTTACTCGCGTCATATCAGCGACAGGGCGATAGCAAGTTGAAGCCGCCCTGCGCCGTCCAGCGAGAAATTCCGATCAAGCAAGTCTTCCTCTAATTGCAATAAATAATTCGAGTACTTTTAACAATTTAATGCGTTAACCTTTCTTTTTTAACAAAATTTCTTCGGTCATCGGACGAATGACGGCACCCGCTTTCGTCGTGACTGCCGGCTTTATCATTCTTCTGAACGCGGTTTCGGGCACGAACGTACTACCGACAGGCGCCCGAATGCTTGCCTCAAAGTCTTTGACGGTCTTAAAAGGAAACGGGACGTCGGACACTAAGTGCTTCTTAACTTTCTCGTCCGCCTTCTCATTGATAATCAGATTGCCTTTGTTGTCGTCTCTTCGTTTGAACTCCTTGGGGAATTTGACAATGAAACGTCGATTTTTGCGCTGTTTCTTTTTCGATTGCACCACGCCCGGGCCGCCCCACGATCCCCACCCGGGTAAAGACAAGTCGATATCTTTCGGCTTTTCCCCCTCGATCTCATCCCGCTTCTCTCTCTCGAAACTTTCCACAATATCGTCATCTTGGAAGGCTTCGACGATTGCGCCTCTTTGATCGTCGTCTTCTTCATTGTCGTCCATGTTAAGTAAATCGGGTAATTCAGTCTGTAGATCCGTAGGTTTTGTGCAGATGATGTCGTTGGGATCGATATTCTTTTTTGACTGAGCCCCATCAGTGCGCGGATCGTGTCGCAACGCGAAACTTAAAGCGTTCTCTTTTTCCTGTTGGACACCTTCCATATTTTCATCCAAAGGTTCGTCAATTATCGGACGTTTCGCTTCCATTTTGAAGCTGAGGTCTTCCGAATTCGACTTCATTTTCTTCACCTTCTGCTTGGGTTTGGCTTTCTTGCTTACTTTTACGGATTGTTTTACTACATCCAACTTTCTTTTAAAGTTATCACTATATCGGTCAAATAGCGCATCAATGTCCTCGCATTCGTCTTCCGTATCGCTTAAGATGCCAACCTCCCACTGTGTTGTTGCCAGACAGACTGTCCTGTGCGAATTTTTCCGTTTCCGTGTTTTTAGAACCTTCTTTTTCGGGTCTACTTCCCTTTTTTGAGAGGGTTGATCAGTTTCTTCCGGTACCGAAGCACCAACATCTTCTTTCGCGAGATTGACTATTTCCACTTCCGTTTCTACCACTGTATTTGACTCTTCCTCTTCTACTGCTACGTCCGCATTTGATTTCATCGCTTCCGCTTCAACCACCGCGCTTGCATCCGCTTCAACCACCGCGCTCGCCTCCGTTTTGGTTGCATTTTTCTCTTCCCAAAATTTTCGGTAGCCTTTCAGGAAGGTCTCGACTTCCTCCGACGTCTTAATTTGGTTCACCCAGGGATTGTCGTTGTTGACGGTGGGCGCCTTTGGAACGTTTTCGTCCTCTGATTCCGAACGGTCATCGTCCGCCTGCACCTTCTGCGTCAATTCGCGACTAATCATCAGCTGCTGGGCTAATTCTTGCCGATTCTGAAACACGAATTTCACATTAGCACGCATAGAACCAACAATGGGTGCAGTGGTTTCTTTCGCTTTAGATGCTTATTTATGAGAGACTTGCCATGCTTGGTATCTATGTTGATTCAATATATGGAGCCGATCCTTCAAGTTAAATCTATAAAGAAGGGTTTAAATAGGAGTTGGGCGAGTTGCGACAAGATACCTTTATTTCAGGATTTCAGACGAAATCAATATTTTTCACTCGATTTCAATGAAACCTCAAATAAAACTCATAAAAAAAACACCATCACAAAATTGTTTAGGTAAAATATATTGCTGGGTGCAATGGCATGCGGCCACTATACCACCCACAAAACACATTAACAGCTGACATAATTTTGAGTTGGATCCATCGTTCCTCGAAATGGGGGTTGAAATATATTATGTTATCAAAAATCTCTAAATGCCGTCTGCATGATCTCGAATTTAAACTTTACTTAAATAATTTAAATATGTAGTCATCTTAATAGTTTCAATACTTTTATAAGTTAATTTTTCCCCCCCGTTCTTTTGAAATGTGTTAACCCAAATTTCAACTTTAATGTAAAAATTCAACCCCCCGGTTGGTTGTCTTAACAAGGCTTGATAATTAATTCGTCTTGAAACTTAGGACAACCTTTCCGTTTTAACCACCCTTCAGGTTTTTCACTTGGCTTCGGCCAGTTAATAATTAAAAAAAAACAACATGTTCGTCTTATCGTCTTCAACGTTTGTAATTTACCGTTTTCCTGTTAACTTTCACATCGCCTGATGATGGCAGTACGCCGAAACTATAGTCGCTGTTATTTTTAAAAACTTCAACGAATAAAACCATATGGGGAAGGTTTAGAGATTTTTGATAACATAATATAGCTGACATAATTCTTGGGCACGAAAAGAAAAATCTGACGAAAACTCTATCCGAGTCGCACAATGGATTCGAATAAACACACAATTCATTGTTTGGACATATTACCCCGCACGCACGCGGTTAACAGTAAAGTAAAAAATTTTAAAAATCACTTACAGTTTTTTCTCAATAAATAATCTGTCCGTGCACGGTTTGCGATGCTAGGCGCACTAAAGCTGACACAAAACCACTTCCTTCTGAACTTCACTTTGCTTTATAACCCGAATTATATGACCAACACGCTCTTTAACCGTCGCACAACAGGAGCTGCCAAACGTACCGAATTTTTCAATATGAAACGCGCAATTCATCTAAACCCATGCGCCCTTACGATTTGTTAAACTGGAAAATTTCAATTGCATAGTGAATTTACTAAGAGTTGTGAGTAACGTAGTGCATATAATTTTGAATGTTTGGGAATAATGTTTTGTATTTGTGTGATACGCTATCCCATTGTGGAGACAATTTTTATTTTTGCTATTGGATATTGGAATAAACCAGTATTTCTTTTGGTACCTAAATTAATATGTGTTATTACTACCCTCGTATATTCTCAATTTCATACGGGAAGAGCTCGGGGAAGAGTTAAGTTAGAAATTGAGTGGCGCTCAACCATTGGTAAGTGCAACGAAGTTAAGATCAGATGCGTAGAACGAACTACCACTGTGACAGATCTCAAGTTTATATTTTATTTTCAAACCCTAAACTAGTTGGTCGTTTATGCGCCGGTTTGCGGAAACGTATCGTCAACTCTGCCAACCGTTATAATTTGTAAAGCGTAAGTACAATTGCGTGTTAAAATATAGGGACATCTGGTCGTTTGCGACGAAATTTAATACACGCACGTGTTCTTATCGGTGTTAGAGAAGAAAGTGGTTGGAAGAATTGCGATTTATTTCAGCGCAAGTGGAGACTCCGTTCCTTTAAAGTTTAAAGCATTATCAAGTCTGATTGTGATTTCTGATTGGCGCTTGATTTGAAAGATTTCGAGGAAGGAGATTGTCTTATGGTAGAAGTGATGATTCTTTAAACACCAGAATAAAGGAGACACGGAGCTGTTGCTGTTGCTAACTGGTGTTTCGTGACGGTAAAAAAAGCGTGTAAATTTCTTTACGTCATATCTCGGGTGCCCAGCCCGAAATGCAAAACAGGGTACAAAAGTGTCTTCAGTTGGCGGATATGGCACCTAATCCTGAAAACAGATTTCGATCCATGCGCCACCTGGTAGCTTAGCGAAGAACCAGACTCTGACAACAAGACTGTCAAACACAGGGTTTCCAGTCCACCCTGTTGTTGGTGGACTAATGAAATGACTCTATAAACCCACCATATGGACCGAACCATAGTGATACACTTTTCAAGGGTACTTTTACATTATAAAACTCTGAACTTACCGTACTATCGTACTTCGCTTTGATCTGCTTACTTTTCGCCCACTTCCCTGTATTGCGATGCCTCAAACTGGCTCGTTCCTCGGCACGAACCCGTTCGATTTCGTCCAGTTTCTTAAGTGCCTCGTCCGGATTCGTCTGTTGCAGCCCCTCGAATTCCTTGATTTGCCCCTTTATCTTCTCGCGTCGCTGAATTCTGTGATACTTTTTACTTTTTATTTTATTCTGTCGTCGCGCCTTGGCCGCCTTCTGACTTTCGATGATCTTCATTTTCTTCATTTCCTTTCGCCGCTCGAGCATCTCTTGCATTGTTAGCGGATACTTTGGCTCACTTTCCAAGTTAAACACCTCGCCGGGCTCCTCGAAAGTTTCCAGTCGTTTCTGGAGATCAGATTTTATACGAAAGGTCGTAAAATTCTTGCCCGACTCCAATTTGAGGTCGTCTTGTAAGGGAAATGTGAGGTGGTTTGACGCTCGGTTGGACGTAACCACTGCATTCCATCGATTTAAATGCTTCTTCACTTTGTCAAACGCAGTACTGCGACGGATACGATCCGCTTTCACTTTTTCTAAAGGTTTCGGTAATGGTTTAACCTTCTTTTCGAATGAACGAATTCTTTGTCGAACACCTGCTTGTTTGGACTGCTTCTTCAGGGCGTCAGTCAGATCGGTTACTCGAACATTGCTCTTCCCCTTTTCCGATGGTGCGAGATTGAATTCTGATACCTCTCTTCTTGGTTCGGTTCGTGAAGGTTTCGGATATACGACTTTTTTATTCAAATTCAACACATTCTTAACAAGTTGCCCTTTTCCTGCAGTCATTTTTTAACTGCAAACACGTTCAAAAGTTCAAAGGAGTTGGGGTTATGTTATACAAGAAAATTAGGTTATATTTACTTTCTTTAAAAATGCGATGTTGTCATATGTGTCCATATGTACAGCAAAGGTCAAAAGTAATAATTAATTTTTTAAACTATATAATTCATTACGTGTGTTTTCATGGCTTTGTATTAAAAAGCAATATGCGCAAATTATAAGCGCATAATTATGCTTGATATAACGTACACACATTTACTAAAAATTACTTTAATGCGCCATTTTCAGTATTATCTAATTTAGAAAATTAGTTAATTCAACCAAGAACTTAAGTTTCATAGGTATTGAAAATGAATGCCATTTTCTACAATATTGTACAAAATCTGGGATTGATCAAGAGTTGCTGCATGGATGGAACAGTTTCACGTAGTCGTAGTCTACTGTATTAGATAATGATCTACGTCCGAACAATTTATTCCTGCACGTATTTTAGTGTACCTATAATGACTAATGAGTGATTGAAATTTGCGGAGTAGTCGTTTTGTTTTCTTCCAGTAATCAGAAATTACAACACAGTAACATCAAGGTAACTAAATAATTTATTTCTATGCTATTTTTAGCTTTTGGATTAACAGAGCTAGTGATTAGAATCATTCTTTCAAATAATTGCGTTCCTTCTTTTCTTGAATTTGTTCACCAGATTTCAGATTGTTCGGATTTTTTCGATGTTTTATTTTAAGATTTTTTTTAGTCTTCTATTTTCTGTTATGTTTATTGGTAATATCTTTTTAGTTCATAAAGTTCTTTCGTTTCTCCTAATTCTTTCTACTTTTCAGATTCCAGAAAACCTTCAAGTCAAATCTATAAGGTTCTACAAATTCTTACAAATTTTGGATTATCTTTTTGATTCCTCGAATTATTGAAATCCATAATATAATAATCATCAAACTTCCCCGATGCTTCTTCGGAGTATTTGGATTTTTTTGAAATTAATTTTTTTCAGTTTTTTCTGATACTCGGGATCTTTCTGATTAGTGATTTCCATATGCCTCTTTTTATCCTTCAGGTTTGTGAATTTCTTCGGATTTTTTCTAAACTGTTGAGCTTCTCAATCCCTTGGTTGACTCTTAGTTGTTGCAAATCTTTTAGACTATTGGATTTGTGCTCGAATTTTCGAAGTCTCCCATTCTTTGTATTCTTCACTTTGAGGTTCTGTGGACGTTTTAATTTTTCTAATCAGGTATCTTAAATTCTTCCGATTTCTTCCAATTCTCCAATTTTCACAGTGCTCTCGTGCCTTTTTATAGTGGTTTACTGTTTAATAATAGTGTGCGAACAATGCAAAACGCGGTTCAAAGATTTATGCTCGTTTGCACCAACAAATTTAAGCGGAGATTAGCTTAAGCGTAGCTTAAAATCCATGGCAACCATTGTCTCAATAACCGTTGCCATGGATTTTAAGCTACACTTAAGCTAAGCTCCGCTTAAATTTGTCGGTGCAAACGGGCATTAGTGCTTTACATTTTATCATCTATAATTTTTGTTGTATCTGCTCTGCATTTTAAAATAAATGCATGCGAATCGCGAATGTGATTTGGGTAAGAAAAGTTTATTTATTTAACTATCCATAATAAATAATATTAGACATAGATGATGTTTGTTAACACAAAATTCAATAAACTATTTGGGAAAAATATTGAAGCACTTTGTGTATAACAACATTTTTAGGTTAGTTCATCCTTGACATTTTGATTACACATCCTCAATCTGTCAAATTAGCAAAGGAAAGGGCGTTGAGTTAAATAACTTCATTAAATAGACTGAAAATAATGGTAATTACTAAATAGACAATAAAACTTGAATTAAGAAATTTGCTTTCGCGCAGGGCGAGCAACAGTTTGATTGCGCCTTAGACCTGATGCGAAGGCTGCCGCCACAGGAAATCGAAAAGAATTTAGTTGACCTAATAGATTTAGTTCCTAGCCTTTGCGAGGATTTACTTTCTTCGGTGGATCAACCGTTGAAAATTGCCAAGGATAAGGAGACGGGGAAGGACTATTTACTTTGCGATTATAACCGGGATGGGGATTCCTACAGGTGAGTAGTTTGAAATTTGCGATTCACTGTAAACTATGCACAGGTCCCCGTGGTCGAATACTTACGATCCTCCTTTGGATGACGGATCTATGCCGTCAGAGCGGCTTAGAAAACTGGAATTGGATGCGAATCACGCTTTTGATCAGTATCGCGAGATGTACTTCGAAGGCGGAGTATCGTCAGTGTACTTCTGGGATTTGGAGCATGGATTTGCCGGTAATTTTTGCTGTAGAGTGTCCCACGATAAATACCAGCAATCTATATTTTTAATGCTATATCTCCATACATCGGAATGTTTGACAACATACTAGTGTGCACTTTATGTCAACTTACTTATAGTAAATGGGACACCCTATATGTTTATTTCTATGTACATTGTATGTATAGGCCCGTATACCTAAATTTGGGCATTTTTGACATTTAATTGCAACAATAATGCAAATTAAGTAATTTCGTGTTACTTGCAGGTGTAATATTAATCAAGAAAGCAGGCGACGGTAGTAAAAAAATTAAAGGCTGTTGGGACTCCATTCACGTAGTCGAAGTTCAAGAGAAAAGTACGGGCCGCACATCACATTACAAAATGACCTCCACTGCTATGCTGTGGTTGCAGACTAATAAACAAGGTTCGGGAACAATGAACCTCGGAGGAAGTTTAACACGACAGATTGAGCAAGACTCGCCGGTCAACGAAGCGAATCCTCACATCGCAAATATAGGGCGAATGGTGGAAGATATGGAAAACAAAATTCGTAACACCTTAAACGAAATTTACTTCAGTAAGACTAAAGATATCGTAAATAGTTTAAGGTCAGTTCAAGGGCTGACGGAGACGCGACAGCAGCAGGCCCTTAAGCAAGATTTAGCCGCCGCATTGCAACGAAGACATAACAAGTCAGATAACTGATGCGAGGATGTGTTCGAGAGTTTTACAGTCGGAGTGGATTATTTATCACTTTCATAATTTTAAGTTTTTGTATTGCTGCTTCCGCAAATTAAAAGTATTACAGTTCTTTAACTTCAGTCTTTCATGTTCTATTTTATTGTATTTGTAGGAATTATACGCATATGCGGAGATTTCAAAGTTACATTGAATTCTTATTTACAAGTCGATGAACATCCATTACCAACAATTGATGAGCTTTTTTCATCAATGGCTGGTGGTGAAAAGTTTACAAAGATAGACTTAAGTCAAGCTTACTTACATTTAGAAGTGCATCCTGATGATAGGCATTTACTAACATTGAATACCCATAAGGGCCTATATCAATGCAACCGTTTAATGTTCGGTATTGCTTCTGCACCTGCTATTTGGCAGCGGCAGATGGAAAAACTATTAGAAGGGATTCCTGGTGTATCAGTTTTCCTGGATGATATTAAAATTAATGGTATACACAAAACACCTGCTAAAGTAAAAGCAATACAAGAAGCACCAAGACCTACTGACAAAAATCAGTTACGTTCTTTTCTAGGTTTAATAAATTACTATGGTAGATTTTTTGAAAACTTGAGTACAATGTTAGCACCACTAAATGATCTTTTAAAACTGAATTCCAAGTTTATTTGGAATCAGAAATGTGAAAAATCATTCTTACAAGTTAAAAAAGAAATTCAATCTGCGAATTTTTTAGTTCATTTTGATTTACAATTACCAATTGTGCTAGCAACTGATGCTTCACCATACGGAGTGGGCGCTGTTCTTTCACATGTATATCCGGATGGTTCAGAAAGACCAATCCAGTTTGCATCACAAACTTTAACATTAACACAACGAAAGTATTCACAAATAGATCGTGAGGCGTATAGTATAATTTTTGGTATTAAAAAGTTCTACCAATACTTGTACGGTAACAAATTTATACTGTATACTGATCATCGACCTTTGTTACAAATTTTTAATCCAAAGAAATCATTGCCTGTGTTAAGTGCGTCTAGAATGCAACATTACGCAATATTTCTTTCGGCTTTTAGATACGATATTCGATACAAGAATACAAAGTTACATGGTAATGCAGATTGCATGTCTCGATTACCAATTAATTCTGAACAATTATACGATTTTGAAGAATCAGACATATTTGAAATAAGTCAAATAGAGACACTACCTGTTACAATTAGTAAACTAGCGCAAGCAACTAAAATGGATAAGAATTTACAACCATTATTTATGGGATTAAAAATTGGTAAAGTGATTGATAGTAAACTACGTTTCAATATTGATCAAAAAGAATTCACCGTACAACAAGAATGTATTTTGCGAGGTCAAAGAGTAATAATACCTAAAATTTTACAAAAACAAATTTTAGATGAGTTACACTCTGCACATTTTGGTATTTACAAAATGAAAGGTTTAGCTCGTAGTTATTGCTGGTGGCCTGGTATAGACAACGATATTGAAACGTTAGTAAAGAATTGTGCTAACTGCAATAAAATTAAGCATACATCTACAGTAGTACCAGTACATTCATGGGAAAGTGTAAATAAACCATTTCATCGTGTACATGTCGACTATGCAGGTCCATTTTATGGTCATTATTATTTTATTTTAGTTGATGCATATTCACGATGGCCCGAAGTTTATGTTACAAAAGATATGACTGCCAATACAACCATAAAAATATGCCGTGAAATATTTAGTCGTTTTGGCATACCACGTGTACTGGTGAGTGATAATGGCAGGAATTTTGTATCTTACGCTTTTGAAAGTTTTCTTAAACAAAACGGAATTAAACATAGTTTAAGTGCGCCATACCATCCTGCGACAAATGGGTTGGCAGAACGATATGTTCAAACATTAAAGCAATCATTACGCGCAATTAACGGTAATAGTTCTGATGTTGAAAAAGAATTATGTAGATTACTTTTACAATATCGCAAAATGTCTCATAGTATTACCAAACAATCACCTTCAATGTTAATGTTCGGACGTGAAATTACATCCCGATTGGATTTAATTAAACCCGATTTAAATAAAAATGCTACTGCAATTCGTAATAATATACCAGTTCGAGATTTCCAAATTAATGACAGAGTTGCTGTAAGAAACTATGCAAACGATATCAAATGGAAATTTGGAAATGTTGATAAAAAGTTAGGGAAATTACACTATCATGTTAAGCTTGATAATGGTAATGTTTGGAAGAGACACGTTGATCAGTTACGCAGAGTTGGGGTCCTTGGGGATGCTACTCCGCGAGACTCTCCTCAAAATGATGATATTCCTTATGACCCCTCTAACAATCATTCTGATGTTACAACTTTACCCGAAACTTTACCTGATCCAGAAATAAATACACCTACGTTGGACATAACGGCCAGTGTACCTACAAATGAAGAGAATACTTTACCGCAGCTACGCCGTTCTAACCAATTTATTGTATTTGTAGGAATTAAACGTTTAAAGGAAATTGTATGACAAGACAAGTTTTATTTATATTGAAGTTATTTTTTAAATTGTTTATGTACACATGCTATTTTTTTAATTAAATTATAAAATTGCATAAGTTCCGAATGTAAACACAACATATTTGATTGATAACTTCCATGCAAACTATCTACCAGATAAATCAGAACCAGATCATGAGATGGAAGAACATTCACTTTTATACCAAATTAAAATCTCTTGGTTGTACAAGAACTTTACAACCACCCAGGCTGACTGTCTTTCACCAAAAATTCCCGTTTTATGTCTGCTACGCCTATTTAAAACATCCTTCTCTTCTATTCCTTCTGATCCTACTTTATCATTTTGTCAATGTTCACCAATCAAATTGCCTGTGCCCACTGGCAAAACTTCAAAAGAAAGATCGTCGGCGCCCCCCCCCCCATTCATATTCAATTACCGCGCGTCTTCGATAAACTAAAGATACCATTCCGATCTTGGCAGTTGCAACCCGGCAGCTCCACCATGGTCGTGGGGCACTGCTCGTAACGATTTGTATGTGGCGACTTTGTTTTATATATATACATAATCGTGCAAGGGTGAGTAAATTATACACACAAAGATCATAAAATTCTGTTTATTATTTATGGTGAAAGACTTTTGGAATAGATTACCTACTTTTTATAAAGTTACCCTTGTCTTGCAGAACTAGAGGGGTTTCAATTAAAAAAAAACCTTGGTTTTAACGATTTTGTTCAATTCCAAGCCTTAATGTTTTTGAACACCCTGTATTCATTTATAATCAAAATATCAACACAGTCCGCTTCTAAAAGGAAATTAGCCTCAATTAAATAAAGCTCTTATATAGAAAAAAATGGGAATTATGATTTGGGCTGCGAAAGTCTTTCTTGCTTGACATAAAAATTACACGATGCTTCAGATAAGGTGCTGTTATTGTACACACGTCTGCATCCCTTCGGGACCGGTCCAAGTTCAATGGACAGGTACCAATGATAATTAAAACTGGAGCTAAACGGCACAATTGTATATCTTGAAATTAGTATTGAACTGAAACCCTGTGAAGAAATCACATGTCAAATTCCTTAAAAAACACCAACTGTAACCTAATTTCCGATTTCAATCTTCCAATGGCAAAATTCTGGAACGTAGAACGGTAACAGATGATTAAAGAAAACTTACTTATTCCTCAAATTCAATGAAATCCTCCAGAATGCGAGATAAGTGTGTAGACTCTAACCCAAAATTACTTCGAGAATTACACCATATGCGGTTAATCACCATAAAATAACACTTCAAAATCTTACCGTCATTGCATGTGCATTCCAGTTGCTTTTAAAAATGCACCAATAGAAATTGGAAGCTATGACACAAATTTTTACATAAGAAAATCAAAATGTTGCAATTTTTAAAATATTCTCAGCTCTCCCTCACCTTTTCGAGAGTCATTCGCCATTACACATCCTGTGTGTGAATTACAACTACGCAAACAGAACAAACATTTCACGAAACAAATAAATAATCTGCTAGTCTATGATGCGTGTTGGTATTCAACGTCGACAGGCAATTACCCCGATCCATAGAGGATTGTATTTCCTCTATGCCCGATCGAAATTTTGCATAGACATATGAGTATTTATGTCTATGAAATTTTGTCGTATTTGAATTCAAACGTACTACGCGCGTTTCATAATTCTACTCGAATCTAATTGTCACAGATTCAATTACGGGTGGCAGCACTTGTGTTAAGCGCGCCAAGTGTCATTTTAAACGGTTTGTTTTAATATGAAAACAAAATGATAAAAAATTTGAAATACACTTTTTCGCCCTTGACACTAACTGTAGGCGACTGGTTGATTACGGTATCAACGACCAATAATAGCGCGACATTTAAATCGCTGATATTGATAAGGAACGAGATAGGTCGGTGTGTTAGGCAACACACAGTGTTACACGCAGTAAATATTAGGTTTTCAATTTTTACGGTCAACAATCATACCAGTAACAACCTTCATTAATAATTACAGTGCGGTTCCGGCATTTTCATAATAGAAACGAGTAACGGGGCGCAGATCTAGGAACGCTACTTAGCTACCTAGCACATTCAGTGCCCAATTAAAAGTGAAAGTGCAAAGGCGCTTTGCAATATGGATAAGGTAAAGTACCCATTGTTTTTTTGTACGTGGCTCACTTAATTAAGGTTTTGTTAAGCATGTAATTAACGGAAAAGTTGACCCAGATTAAAGCGCAGACTGATAAGGACGATACGGTAACTTAGTGCGCGAGACCTTGATATTTGAAGTAATTAGAGTGCTTCCTCATTTATCGTTATGCAATCGTCAACAAGTTTTTGTCGCGGGCCATGAACTGAAAATAACAGTCGTTCTCGATGACCAGAAGGAATTTTCCTTCCCAGTAGTATGCTCGACGAAGCGTGAATTATGTGAATCAAAGTGCAATAAACTCGCAATATTCAATTTTTAGGGTACAATTTGAAATGAGCGGTGACGTCTGTCAACACCATCAGCAGGCGAAAACGCAATCTACACCACTTCAGTCGAAGATCCCTATTTCGTCGCCGTCGCAATGTGGCACTCCACGGACGCGCGTCCGTCTAGGTGGCGAAAGCGTTAGTAAAACCGTTCCGAAAGCGCTGCAGAGAGGTCACTCTTTTATGGAAAGCGGCGAAAAAAATCGCAGTTCACATGGTTTGCGCCCTTCTGGAGTGGCACCAAGGCCACAAAGCATCAAAACGGAGCCGCGCAATTCGGTGGCCCTAAATAGGGCCACCGGGGTCGCTCCCCATACACCAACCCGCATGAGAAGCTTGGTAAGTTGGATATTTAAACGCGCGTCTATGCACGCATAAATTCTGCGCCCTCATTTCATTATTGATTTACAACCCCTACATGGTTAATCACCCCTTAAATCACGCCAACGCGATTTTTTGCAGTCACTTTCAATATCGAACGCACGAGTAACTTCACCAAAGTCTTCACAACCTTCAGTTCCATTCTTACCAAAGACACCCCCGTCATCACCAAACGACCACAACCGATTCTGCCGAGACTGGGATTTAGACAGTCTCACCAGCTCGATCAGCTGTCTAAGTGTGGCCTCCTGTGACCATGCCAGTGTCGCTCATAATGGCACAACATACTCTGGCCGAAGCAAAAAGTAATCACAATGCGATTATCACACACAGATCTAACTTGAAACGTTTAGGTATGTGGTGCACTGCTCCGAGCACTCGGGTGCGACCGGCGGTGATTACCTAACACCCACTCAGAGAGCCCATCGACAAATCAAACGTCTCAAACAACTCCTTCATCAGACACAAAAGGATCTCGATCTAAAAGACACCGACATACTAAAGCTAACGAAGGAAGTCGTCGAGTTACGTTTATATAAGGCAGCTTTGCATTCCCCCGAAGACAAATCAAACTCCTCCAGCGACGGTGTCACAGTCCGAGAGATCGAGACTGACGGCAGTCGACTCCATGCGGTCATCGAGAAAGGTAGTTCCTGTGCAGATTCCGGCCATTACGAGGACTTGTGCAACTCCTCTGTCCATTCCAAAGAGTCAGTGATAGATGAACACGTTTCGGTAGGTCGAATACCAGCTTCGCGTGATTAATTCGCGAATTTCAGCCTTACAAAGTAAAGACAACTGCCGACGTAGGAATATCCGTAGATTTAGGTCCGAGGGACGTCCAGTCCGAACACCAAAGATTAGTTGTAGAGTATGAACGTCGACTGCAAGAGCTCGTGCGTAACCACGAAGAGGAGTGCCACCAAATGAAACGGAAGCACAATGACAAGGTGGATGAGTTGTTGCAGAGGTTAAGTGACGTGAATGCAAGGTACTGAGTATATGAAAGTGAAGTCAATTGTAAAGATACTTGTAGGTATTGGGAGTTGGTGCCCGATTTAGATTCAGCTAAGCAGCACATTAAGGAATTAGAGCAGCAACTGGAGGATGCCTGTAAAAAATTAGAGGAAGAAGAGAAGAAACACAAGGAGAGCTATTTGCAAATGTACAATAAAGGGCAAGAGGCGGCCAAATTTGAACACGTTCGACAGGTAAATGCCTACATAATGTTGAAGTTTCTTATCTTGTGTTGCATTCAGATTTCAATGACAGCTGAAGGTAATACTCGAGTTTCCGTTCCGGAACTATTACATCAATTGGAGGAGACGCAGAATGAATTGGAGAAAGTTAAAGTATGTACTTGCCTATACTGCTTTCAGTATAACTACCGATAATTGAAAATATTAAACAATACACAAGTTGATGCCAAAATTGGGTTAGGAAAACTTCAACTAAATTTTTAAGGTTAGGATTTCGATGATAATTTGTTGGGTTGCGTTCAGCGGGAAAAACAGGCGGTGTTCCAAATTATCATTTGCGCATAATAGGCGCTTTCTTTCGGCTACTTCGCAATCATGATTTCTAGATCGTGATTAGTAGGATCACGTTTTACGAAAGAACGCACGAATTTAATCAAAGTATGGTTAAGTTTACGTAGTGCACATTTGCATTCGAATTATGTATTTTTTGTTTGGATTATGAAAATAATTTAAATACAAGTGGAAGTACTTGCACGATTATGCTCCGCTTCAGTTACAACTTACAAATATTGACTAATCTAACATTTGAGCAAAAATACCCTTGCATTTATAGGTTAGGAATTCGTGTCAAAAAAATTTTATGTTCAGTTTGTTCACGATTTTAGCAATCATGATTATAAGATCACACTTCGAAAGAACGTGATTTGACAATTCAAACGCGTTTGGATCACCGAAAGAAAGCGCCTAATAAAAAGTATCATTGCATTATTTTACCACAGTTTTACATTTTTTTTTAATATACAGCCATGAGGTTCAAAAATCTATGTGACTGCTAAAAATACATGTAGTCAACACATTGGACTTAGACTGGAGTTAGATTTTTTCACCCCTACGCTTGGATATGGGCCAATTTTTTGATTATACACTTGTAACTCCAAAACTATTGTGCCCTATTATGTCCTCTCATGCTTCACAATTTTTCCGTTTACCTTGTTTCGTTACATTCTTCAGATTCTTTATTGTCTTTAGATTATTCAATTACATCCCATTCTGCGGACATTCGTCAAATCCATAAGTAGATATTTTGTATTCTTCCGTTTCGTCAAATTTTTTTAATTCTTCGCTACAGGTTCTCCATATGCTTCGGAGTTTTCTTTACACAATTCGACTTAAATTCTTCATTTTTTGAAATTTCTTTCCAACTTTTAAAATTCTTCAGATTCTATCTAATTAATCTAATATCCAAATGAACAATGTGTGAGACTCGGCCTCTGAACGTTACCCAACGTAGGTAGGTACTTTACTAACTCTAACTGGGTTTATGAATATTATTTAGTGTAGGAATTGAGATAATGCGTCCATCGGAAGTTATGCTGAAAGTAATATCCGTCACCCAAGTATTTGCGAGCGACGATGATAACTCACAGACTAACCATTTTAGGATATAGAATACGCATCATCATCTAACAGTTCACAACCTCTGTTAAGTGCAAAAGAGGCTGTCTCCTTATGGGTACTCGGTGCTAGAAAGGTAAAAAGAAACCGATACCTCTGGTACAAAATTTTTATTTTGTAGACACATTTATTCTCATTACATTCATAAAGTTAGGAGACGAACATCTTCAGCAAACACTAACGCTTTATACTTACATAAGTAAAGAAAGTTTCAAAATACGATTTCCGAATGCCTTCAAGTATAAAATGTATTAGGAAAGAAATGTTAATCATTCATTAGCATTTCACGTTATGGTTACAAAAGCAACTAATGCGCTTATAAGCAGAACGATGAAACGCTTTGCATAGTAGATTTCGCCATTGAATAGAATTCAGTGTGTAGCTCCTGATTTCTAAAATGAAAGAAATGTATTTCATATGATTTCTTTATCAAAGAACTACGGACCTAGCAGATAACTCTTTAAAAACGAGATGAAAATCTTTGGTTTTTACTTGGACCAAGCAGAACCTGTTTGAAGATCGTAAAACCTACTGTTCGAGTGTTATCGTGCACACTGACGGACAGACGAAGAACCACACCGACTTGACCCAAGAGGAACCAATTTTTATGATAGAGAAACTGATGTGACGGCGCCCTATATTTTAAGGTGGAATTTCGTTGCGACGTCCAGCGTTCGCGGCATGACACTGCTACAATGCTCCGAATCGCCTTACTATACTCAGTGAGGGGCGTTCTATATTCATCCCAGCACCCAGTGCGCTTGGCTTTGTTAAAGACTTCTGGTGGCTTTCCCAGACCATAATTATTCCACCAGGGAGTGTTTGTATGTGTTTTAATCCGATCCGGCGGACAGCTCTCCTCCAAAGGAGGAGCAGTGTGGCAAGTCGTTCTAAGTCACCTCCTGCAGAGTCCTGCAATGTTGCTTTTCAAAACTCCTCCTACAGTGCGCCATCTGTTTTACGAGGATCTCAGTATGAACGTTCTTTGTTTCTTCTCCTGTTATACTTCCTATTTTCAAGATTTTTCTGTTGGGTCCGGGGGGGGGGGGGGGGCTCGTTAGCGACCCTCTATCCCACTATATTTTGCCTGCTAAAAAGAAGAAGGCAAAGGTAATATCAGGTAATATCCAGAACTGTTTTTCTGTTCCTGGTTACAAAGGTTGGATCATTGCCCAGATTCAGCATCTCTAAATCTGAAAGACACGCACTTCTCTGATTTGTGTCCGCGCTGCCTCAGTGGAGTCAATGGCGCAGTTGGCGTCACATTCTAGAAGAAGATGCAGGCCCGTCTTTCATGTTGGTAATTGTGGGAATGGGGCTATTTAGTTTAGGGATTAATACGAAATCTTTTCGATTCTTTCGTAAGTCATCGTGATCCTTCGGTAGCGGATTTTTCAAAAAACGCCAAGGGTACAGTGTTTTGGGAATTTGGAAAATCTGCATTAATAGCTTAGCGATTTATTCAAAATTTCGGATTTTCCCGAACGGGATTCTCCGAAAACGGCAAAGGTACAAAGGAAGCAAGTTTTGGTACTTACATTGAATTCAGGACCAGATTCATTTTCGAGCCGTCCAATTTTCGCGGCGTTACCCTTGATCTCGCCTTTCATGTATTGTATGGGCTTGGCTAAGCGAATATTGTGCCTATACAGAACATAAATTTAAACTATTTCGCCTGGTTACGTCGATTTTGAAATAAGCATTCACATTTGCTTTGATACGAAAAAGTAAAACCTTTCGGTTTAGAAAATTAAACTTGACTTGGTTCGAGCAAAATTTCTGTGACATGCTGTATATCAGAACTTTATCATCACGTGATGCGGCATCTGCTGG